ACATATTAAAATTAAACAGTTTATAAAAGAAAATTTTAATGAAAAATTAAGAAATCGAATGTATATCTACAAAATAATTGATAGCTGGTACTCTAAGTCCAACTTTAATCCTACCTTAACTCTTACATATTCAAAACCATTAAACAAAAGATTAAATAAATTTACGGGGTATCAATTATTATGTGATAATAAAAATTAATGATTATAATCACAAAACTTATTTTTGTACAGTCATATTTATACTTTAACTTTTACATATAATAAAAGGTTTCGGAATACAATTTTGGTTTTGGTTTTCTGAAATCCGAAACTATATTTTAGATTTCGGATTAGTATTTCCCAAGTTAGTTTTTTATTTGTTTATTGAATATTAGACTTGATAAATATAATTTGTGTTAGGCTCGTGATCAGTTTTTTTATTTATGGTAGAACAGAAATCGTGAATTTGTCAATTGTTATACATAATAGTCTGCCATCATTATTGGAGAAATATTATTGTTCATTTTAGTTCCAGCAATTTAACACTAATGTTCAATAGGGTTTGAATAAGTAAATAGGCAAACCAAGTTATTCTCCGAAATTTTGATCTCTAGGCCGTTTTCAAACCTTTCTCTTGATGAGTTTACCGAATTATCTGATTGATTAAAAATTGACTGCATGTCATTAAATCGGAAAAACTTGGAGCTGCACCACCAATTTTTTTTCATATAGCTCTGTTGATTGACTAAAATATAAATTCGCATTTCGCACAATAAATTTTCAGCATATTGTTACAAAAAACATGCTTTTTATGTGAAAATTTTTATTCGAAGATTCTCGTTTAAAACCAAAATTTCATTATCACGTGCGACTATATAACTTCATTTAACAAATCGATTTCCATAAAAAATTCCTTACAAAATTTTAGAATAAAATAAACTGTAATCTACCTACCTCTCTACTTATTTAATCGAAGCTTTAAAAAAGTCATGAATAATGCTACGTGAAATTTATATATCACCTCTTCCTGGCTATAATATAGACAACCTAAGAATTTTTAAATTGCTGATATTTCTAGTTTAAATAAAAGAAAGACATGCATGGTTGGTATTTTAAATTAAATTACCAAACTATACATGTGACCGAAATTGTTTCGGTTTTTTGTTGACACTATTACGGCTTATGCCGTAACTAGTTTCGAATAAGCTGAAATAATTTCGGTTATATGTATATGTAGTACCTCAGATTAAAGCTTGGTCAGATTAAAACTCGCCTAAATTAGTTAGAATTTAGCAAGGCCGATTATTGCAGATCATTTTAATGCTAATCTAACGCAAGTACTAATCTGAAGATACAACATATATAAAGTACTTGGATTTCTTTTTTTACCTTGAATCGATGACTTGAGTTCATAGAAGATCCTTGACTCACCTGAACAGAGTTCTATTTCTGAAAAATGTATTTTCGGCAACATTTCGACAGTACTACATTTTTTTTTTATATGAAATCCTCCAAAATAACTATATTATAATTTTGGGGAATATGAAAAATTAATTTCGGCAAATATAAAGATTAATTTCGGCTAATAAATTCCGTAATAATTTTTTTATTAAGATGAACAATTTAAGTAATCAAATTTTAAATTTCACAACTAAAATCTAAATAGTATATTAGTTAAATTTGTTATATTATTAATTTCTTATTAAAAGCATAAACAAATTCTAAGAAAACATTCTCAAATCATTATTAAATTATTAAAAATTACATCCACTTCCTGTTCTTATTTATCGTAGTATCATCTAGCATATGATGTGCTTATGACCAAATTCTACGCGCTCTATTTCGAGCTTCTGAATTAAAGTTTGTTAGATTGGTTTGGTTTATTTATTATTATTATAGTCCCGAACCGACCATTACACCTTTACGTACGTACGTACAGTACGTACGAACGTATTTATGTGTATGGAAGTACAGTAACAGGTAAACAACAAATAGCAATGTAATGTGACGTACAATACTGTACATATCAGATATTATGTTATGCAAGTACGTACATGAATGGTAAAAAACACCACTATCATTTGCTGGTTTAATAAGAAATTGAAACATGAGTTTTACAATGATATAAACTTTTTCATAAAGGGAATTGAACAAGAATTACTGTTCGATGAATTTGGGCAATAGCCAAAATAAAAAAAAGGAATTTATTTGAAATACATACGTATTTTAGGAGAAATAACAAGAAATAACAAGTATGATATTTCCCCTAAGAATTTATTTTTCTTAAGAATTAATAATTTTGCATGACATATTAATATCGATATATTTAATAAAATTTTTGTTAAAGAATATTTTAATTTTTAATTATTTGAATTTTTTACAAAATCTTTAAACCAATCATCTATCTAAAGACCAATGCGATCTTAACTTGGACATTGTTTTAATCGAATTGCATTATGTATGCGAGCAGTTGTAAAATTTTTGAGTTTCATTATCTGTTACGGTATATATTATAGCATTATTGGTTAATAAAAAAAAATAATAACGAAACTTGAGTTCAACATATTTACTAATTAAGTTATAGCATATATGCAAAATAAACATAAAAGTTTGTATTATTTCTTCTTTATTAAAAAAATTATAATTATTATTTTAACCAATGAATTAACCTTTGCTATTTGACAGGTTCAATAAAAAAATTTGCTACCAACTGAATTCACCAATAGAGATCTGCAAATACCAAATCCTTTGAAACTTTAAATTTCTACTTGGCAATTTGTTACTTTTTTTTTTTTACTTTGACAGTAAATGAGTACAATTTTAGGCTTTTTAATTATAACATTGCATGTTATAAGTATATCTTAATCATTTAAGATACCTAGTAATACCAAATCGATTAGTTTTATAATTACGCCATCTATCTACATTAGTATTTACAGTAGGTTATCTAATTTATTGTTGTTTCATGAACTAGTATGTCAGCTAATTAAATACTTTTCATATTAAATAAATTCTAAGATCCCAAGCACAAGATTTTAGATAATGCATAGATACTGTATACCGCTATAAAATTGTAGTTATTCTTTAACTAATCTGGAAATTTTTTATTTGTGTAATAAATTAATCTGTAGAAAAAAAAAAGGCAGGGGTACAGATCGCAGATTTTTTTGAATTCTCCGAAAACTGCACAGTTATGTATAATAATATACCCCCGGTAACTTGACATAAATTTATCATTAATAATAATAATTATAAGGATGACTAAAAAAACTGCATACGTATTACTTCATTTGTTTATGTAGTTACTTCTAAATTCGATAGAAGATTTTATACGTATATATTTATTCATGCCAATATATATATATATATTTTTTAGATAAAAATATACGTACGTAGGGTATACACCTTGTTTATTTACCGTCAGATCCTTTTATATAACTTTATCTGTTTCATTAATAATTTTTACCCCACATTTAGAAAAATATTAGCAAATATTATGCAATGATAGTGAAGTAAACAAAACAAATACTTACACAATAATTATTAAATTCCTCTTAGTCTTTGTTTCAACGAGTTTTCTGTCAGAAAATTACTTTAATCGGGAATTATCAAAGCATTTTTTATTAAAACTAAATCTATCTACGGTTATATTAAGTTAATCTATCGACAGGTAGGTATTGTATGATAATCATTAAAAAAAGTTAATTTTTAATTTTTATTTCCAAAAGTTAAATGTCTTTTATATACTTTATCTATGAATTTAGGGGTCTGCATTTTGTTCGGTCTTGCCCGTAAAATGGGCAGTGCCACACCGCGCTTTGCACTCAACAATCAATAACATGCTTAAACTTTCGATTAATTGATTTAATATATATCATTTTCAAATTTTTATATGCTTTCATTAATATTTACAAGGGTTTGGTAGGTAGGAATATCAGTTATGATGTTCAACGTTTAATGTTAATTTGGGAGTTATGATCCAAATTTGGATAACAGGGCGATATATTGCATCAGATCGACTTATTATACGTTATCATTGGAAGAATATTTCTTTATTATCTTTATACAGTATAGTCTTATTACTCTTTTAATTTATATTCATATCGCTTTGTTCTATTAAGTTAATCACAAATCACAATATTCAACCACGTTTCCCAACTATAATTAAGGTTTTTCATTATTAAACACTCCATTATTTCGAAATTATATAAAAAAATTATTCTAGTAAAATGCAACCTGGTCTTTGTTTCTGTCTTATCTTTTTTAATACCTGTGTATATTTTGTATAACATGGTGTATATCATAATAAGAGTATTCGAAAAAAGTTCGTTGTTTGATGTAAAATATATGTACATACGCTTATTATATATATCTCGTATTTCCTTGTAAGATGGTCCTTATAAAAGCTAAGGATCGCACTTTCTGAATATCATCCTTCCTTACAAACATCCTCAAATTAGATTCAAGAATAAGAATAAAGTTGTTTTTTTTTTTTTGGGTTTAAAAAAAAAAACAATTATTTTTATTCTTTCCATATAGGAAGAACCCTCCTCTGGATACATTTTTTTACTTTCGTTGATCGAATATTTTTATTATTCAGCATACATAAAATTCCATAGATCATAGACTTATAGAAAAAAAAAAACACTATATAAATTTAATAAATTTACTCATATACTCTTATTTAACTTGTAAAAAAAAAAAAAAAAAAATATTTTTTTCATGCAAAAATGGGTAAAGCAAATTCAAAGTCAATTCACACCTCACCTTCTTTAACTTCCTTATCATCAGTAACATCAATCCCAAGGCTTCTTAAAACACATCGTCAAAAATCTTCTTCTAGTTCTGCATTTACTTATTTCTCTTCAAGTTCTTCAACTCAATTATCTCTTAATTCTCCAAATTCTTTAAATTCTCATCTTGAAGTTATGTCACAATATCCTTCATCATTACAAGAAAATCTTCTTGGTTCTAATGATTTTGATACTTTTCATTATATTGGAGATAGAAAATATTGTAGAAGTGGTATTGAGGATGTGAATTATGTGTATCCAGTCGATGACGATGAAGTTGATCGATGTCAAATGCAACATTTTTTAATGAAGCATATTTGGGAAGGCAATTTTTCGGCACCAGTTGAGGAAATGTTGTCCAATTATGATACTAAAGTCCTTGATATTGGGTAAGTAAAAAATATATATATATCCTTATCTGTTATTATACTAGCGTATTTTAGCGGCGCAGTCGCATATATTAATTAATTTTCTAATCAAAAATTTCTTTTTAAAAATTAATTTTTTAGTTGTGGTTCAGGTGCTTGGATTTTAGAAATGGCTACAGAATATCAACGTCCTCAATTTGTTGGCGTAGATATTGCTCCATTATATCCCTCCGAAATTCATCCAACAAACGTAAAATTCCATCAAGCAAATGTCCTTAGCGGTTTACCATTTGAAGATGAAACATTCGATTTTGTTTATATGAGATTCATGGTTTTCGCTTTTACTATTAATGATTGGGAACGTGCTTTAAAAGAAGCTTTAAGAGTTACAAAGAAAGGTGGATATGTTGAAATTATGGAAACTGATATTAAGTGGTATAATGAAGGTCCATTCTGTAAATCTTCAAGACTTAAAAGTATGTAAATCTTTTAATATATACCTGACTAGCTAGATTAATTCACATTTTAGAATGAGTGACCTCATCTAAATGTCACATATTATTGGATTTTATTGAGTCAGTCTATGAATCTCTACACATAACTTTAGCATATTTATAAATACTTGAATTTTACAATTATTAACCTTTTTTTTTTTTTGTTTTTTTTTAACAATAGTTGGTGATTCCTTACGTAATCTAAAAAACATAGAAATCATTATATCCCCTCTCATCAAAAAACTTCTTGATA